TTAACTGCCCGAAACCGACCGACTCAAATGAGAACCGAACCGATTAAAAACCGATTTTTTGAAACCGAAAATCGACCCAAACCGTATTTTAGTAAACCCGAAACCGAATTGACCCGAATAACGTTAAACCGTATAAGAACCGAACCCGTTAACAAACCGAACCAAATATAAACTGAACTGAAAGAAAACCGAACCGAAAAAGAACCGAACCGTATCTAACCCGAAACCAGTTCCAACCCGAAACCATTTAAACTGGCAAAAAAACCGCTTACACCGAACCGTTAGCAAACTGCTACCCGTTTGCACCGAACCATTTAAAACCGAACTGATTGTAAACCAAACTGGTTATAAACCGAACCGTTTATGAACCAAACCGCTTCTAAATCGAACCGTTTACAAACTTTTTTATATAAATAAATGGATTTTTTTTTTGACGGGAATATAATTAAATGGATTAAATATTAGAAACCTTAGAATATTTTTTAAAAAATAGCAAGGCAAATCATTCATTAAGGTCTTAAGGATAATCAATATTACCTTGTTAATCAGTCATTAGTGTTTTCTTTCATTGTACAAATCAAATCACTTTGTAATATCTTCATAATTTCATGAAAATATATAATGATAAACGAGTCATAATTATCAGTCTTGTTGACTAATCAAGTATCGAATTACCAAATTACAAATTTCCATTTCACAAGAACTCATCAAATCATGATTATGATACTATGCGTAGTATATAAATGATTAAATAAGAAGCATATAATAACCTAATTGTAAAGCAATAATACATTAATACACTAACTCTTATAATCTACTTCATAATAAACTAGTAAGATCAGTATGACTAAACTTGAAACAGAACATAATATGTATTTATAAAATCAATGAGAATTTGTTTATAATATGATGCCTAAATATGAAATAATTCGCGAATTTATATAAAACTTGTGAACGCAAAAGGTTAGCAAGTACTATCAAATTTCAAACCAAAACCATTTAACTGCCCGAATCCAAACAACTCGATAAACAATTTATTTTTTGAAACCGAAAACCGACCCGAACCGTAATTTAGTAAACTTGAAATGGAACCGATATGAATAACGTTAAAGTGGTTAAACCATCGAAGAACCGAACCAGTTATAAACTGAACCGAAAAAGAACCGAACTAGTTAAAAACTGAACCGAAAAAGAACCGAACCAGTTATAAACCGAACCAAAAAAGAACAGAACTGTTTCTAACCCGAAACCGTTTCCAACCCGAAACTATTTGAACCGGGATAAAAACCGTTTACACCGCACCGTTAACAAACCGCAACCCGTCTGCACCGAACCGTTTACTACTCGGATCGAATTAAAACCGCTTAAGAATAAACCGAAATCGAATCGAACCGATAACTATTTAAACCGAACCAAAGCCGACCCGTGAGACAATTAAACCGATTCCAAACCGACCCGATTAAATACCGAACCGATTTCAAACCGAACCGAAACCGAACTGTCAAACCGTTTTGACAGTGCTACTTATCATGAATCCATGACAGACATTGTTGGTTTGGTTTTGGGCCTTTTGGCCTTTGTTTCGTTATTTGGTTTTTGTTTTTAAAAAATAAAAAAAATAAAATATTTGTCAAAATTTATCTTGGCCATATTCTCTTATAGAATGTCTACTTCTTCTTTTGTGAGCTAAGAGCTAAATTTCGCCTTTTTTTTTTCATGCTATTTCTTATTTAAATTAAATTTCTAATTTGGCTAAAATCCAATAGGTTTTTTGGACTGGAAAATTTAATTGATTTTTAATATATAGAGTTGGATTGATGTACTAGAGAGAGTAGAGACTATACAAAATTGGAGTCTTACGTGTGTACTCGTTTTTTGACTTTGAACCATTGCTCTAAAATTCCTCGTGCAGGGTATACTCCGTACTTGTAATCAATAATTATTTGAAATATGTTACGAAGTAATATAGTGTATGTAATATACTAGTCACATACCACATTGTCTTATAAATCTAATATATATGTTTAAAGGGGAGTTTTTTCCCGATTTTTTAGAGAGCCACGTAGGATCTAATTTTCTCAGCGCGCCATGTAGGATTACAAATCTTAGTAGTAGTCAATTAAATAAGAGATTATTAATTTTTTTTAGAATTAAATAATTCAAATGCCACGTAAGCAAAATTGGCGAATGAGATTTTTAAGTTTAAATTAATTAAAAATTAAATATTATCTTTTAATATTAGGAATTTTATCTAAATATATAACAAATTTTAGCTCATAAGTACAAAAAAAAAAAAAAAAAAAAAAAAATCAAACAAACCGTGCGATTTCATCTAGTATCTATCTATACATATAATTTTACTTTATTTGAACAATATGTTACCTGAAAATTTTTATTAAGGCTTTTTTGGTAGGAAATGTTTTATAATGAATAACATTTTTTTTTGTATATGCAAATCATACATTGGAGTTAAAGTACAAAAACCAAATTGTACATGTTGATACATGAATGATTTCATACATGACTATCAAAGTTAAACAGAGGGAGTATTTATTTTGTTTGGTTCCTTAATAAAAGGATTTAAAATGGAAGGGAAAAGGTGACAAATGATAGCCGAGAGAAAATTACAAAAAAGAAAATGATTCAACTCACATAAGTATTCTTCACCCGGACCTTTATAAACCGAACAAAGGAAAAAGCTTAAATCATTTTCTTAGAAAATATTATATAGCGTCCAACCATGTACTCTCCACATGAAACTTTCACTTATTAAGTTTATGATTTCCCTCAATTCAACAATTATTTAAGTACTATAAGGTATATAGCTCATAACTTGTATTGCACATCTTGAAAATATATGTACCACTTTCATCGATATTAAGAGCTTGTTCACATTTACTGAACTGATTGGAGCTGAACTGAACTGAACAGAGCTGAAATGATAATTTATGAGAGAAGGGAATTAGGAGCTAAACTGAACTGAACTGATCTGATTGGAGCTGAACTCAACTAAAATTAAGATGAAGTGAACAGGTCCTTAGTCATAAAACTATTACTCGTGCTTCATACTTTCATGTGTACGAAGTTATATAAATTTAAATCTAATTTTATTTTAAGGCATCAAGTATTCTCGTTTTTTTTTACATTAGGAATTCCCCATATAGGAGGGTTTCCTAATGTTTTTTTCTTCTTAACTTAAAAAAAAAAAAAAAAAAAAAAAAAAAAAAAAAAAAACTCGTGTTTCATACTTTCATGTGTTACACAATTTTGTTATAGATTTAATTGGGACTAAGAGCAATACAAGTTCAGCCCATTTTACGCTGAGATCTATTTTCTAATATTTTGTTCAGGCCCAATTTTAAATTGCCAAGTGGCCCAATGGGCAAATTTTCCTTCAATAAATTATTATCAAGCCCATTACTAAGTGAGGTTTTAGTAGGGGTTTTTAGAAAGTCAAAGACTACTGCCGTTAACTACTTAGGTTTCCGTTACAAAAAAATCCTGTACATTACGGAGTATAAAAATACAAAAAAGGAAAGTTTCCCATAAAGTTTCTGACAGGTGGCAAAAAAAATAACGCGCGTGACTCATACTCTCACAGTCCACGCGTGTGGCTAGTTGTCTGAAAATTGACCAATCAACAAGATAAATCAAAACTACTAAAGGACACTGGCTTCTCAATTTAACGAAAGATCAAAGTTGAGACTTGAGAGTATCTTTGTTTCCTATCCAAACTTGAATATAACTACACCACAAAAATTGCAAATTATCAAATTTAATTGTTGGATTTAATAAGTGAAAGCAACTACCTTAAGTAAAAGTGGGAATTTATTTCTAAGGATTTGGGTTTGTTGTGGAAGTGGGCATAGTTTCAATTTGTGGCCCAATTGTAGGTTGTAGTTCCATCATTTTCTTCAATTGTTCGCCCATCGATTTTTTATCATTCATTCTTTTTTTCTCGAAAGTGCATTTTTTTGAACCTTAGTTTTACATTGGTGTATCACTCGATTTATAGATATATTGTACTTAAATATGATTAGAATCATTAGGTTAAATGACAGTGTTCATCTTATATTTGTTTATGTAGTGAAAACATTGTATTTTTAGTTTAGATATTTACATTATCACCTAAAAATATTAGCGGGTATACTAGATTTATGAAGAATTTTGTATGGTTAACAATCTATTACCAAACAAAATTAACTCACAATTTGAAATAACTCCTTGTAATTGAAGATTATAATTTACAAGTCATTTGTTAGTTACTCGGACTCTACACAAGTCAATTTATTGCTACATAATCATTATTAGCATCTCGAGCTGGCCAACATTGTTTTTTTGGAACGGTAGTACTCCTGTTAATATGCAAAATCATGCATTCGAGCACATCAATAACATGGTTAGAGTTGTGTTGAATTTGATCCAAACCTTAACTTGGATCAACTCAATCCAAAAGGGACTAAATGTAGCCCATATTGAGGAATTCTAATCAAAACTACATTCTTTGAATAACTTTTGTTATGAGATTTTATTTCATGAAGATAAAAAAGTTACATAATTATATTCCGTTTATCATTGGACAAAGTCTAATAAAGTTTGTGAAAAAAATATCTTCAAATTTTGGTTTTTGTAAAATACGGAATATGAAATTTAAAATCACGTTGTTTAAACAAATTAAAATCGACCCAAAATAAAATAATCAAGTCCAAAACTCTAAATCGACTTAAATTAAAGTAATTTTTTTTTTTTGATATTCTATCCATCAAAATGAAATTCCAACAATTCTTATTCGATTTTGGACCTTTGCACAACCTAAAAGCGGTCGAAAAACAATTGAATTTTTTAGCCTACGAAAGACCCCACGAGGGCCACAGTCATCCACGTGGACGGCTACCACAGCGAGTGACACTAACACCTCCTTAAACCCGCGAGTAGAGTAGCACTACAATAATAATAGCAACCCATTCACACCCTCTAATAATTTCACTTACTACTACTCCATTTTCTACTTTGTACCAACAAACGCCGTCACCAACTCACTGCTACCTGAAATCTCTCACTCTCTTTCTCTCTCTTCCCCAACTTCGTCTCCGAAACTCGAGATTGATTCATATTAGAGAGAGAAAATCAGAGGGGAGAGATCGAAATTTCCGTCTCTTTCGAACGAATTCATTCTTCGATCATACCGGAAATTTCTGCAATCTCCGATCTCGATTTCTAGGGTTCCGGAGATTCCATTTTTGTACCTTTTTTTTTTCCGATTCTTTGATTTCAATATTATTTTCGGATTTTAATGGCGTCGGAAGATGTGAAGACGAGTGAAGCAGCTGTTTCGACGATTGTAAACTTGGCGGAAGAAGCGAAGATTGCTAGAGAAGGTGTTAAGGCTCCTGGTTATGCTATTCTTACCATTTGCAAGTCTCTCGTTGCTGGTGGTGTTGCCGGCGGAGTGTTAGTTTTCTCACTCATACTCTTTGAATTTCTAAAATGTTGATGAAATTGAAAGCATTTTGATTAAATTGATTTTTGAAGAAACTCTGTGATCTTTTTGGTTTTTGGAAAATTTGATCGTTTATTTATTGTTTTATGTAAATTTTATTTAAATTGGTGTTTGGTAAGTTTCGTTATTTTGTTTTCATTTGGATGAATCTGTGGTCCCTGTTTTGTTGTTGCTGTGGATGTGCATTGTTTGTTGTAGATTATTCCAAAAATGCTGTCTTTATAATTGGTTTATTAGCTTCAATGTTGGGTAAATGATGCTTCATTCCTTTGGATTTGGATCTTGTTATTATTTCTCAATTTTAAAAAAACTAAAATTTTTAAGCTTTACAGTGTTGGGGGATTGGGTTTTATGAACTTGTGATGTATGGATTTATTGATATGGATCTGCAAATATACTAGTCTGTTATTCATGGGGTTGTTTTTGTGGAATCGCCGGAAAAAGGAGGGAGAAACTGATTTTGGGACAAGTTCTTGTTGTAACTTTTGAAGTTTGCAAGTGTTTATTATATTTGGGATCATAAGAAGCAATGAAAAAGGAGTTGGAGTTGAAAGTAAGGTTTTAGGAAGCCTGCAATGTTAGAGAATGAAGTTGTAGATGAAAGCGGGGAGGAATAAAACTTTATGATTATTTGGATGCTTGACTTATCATTTGGTCAGATGGCCGATACTGTGTTAGTCACAGTTCAAAATTACAATAGCTTTTGATGCTGCAAGGTAGAGTTTGTGGTTTATTGAGTATTGAAAATTTTTGGGTTATTTCTTTTAGCTTGTTGGTTTTAGGAGAGAATTCATGGGGCTCATGCTCTACTTGTTAGATGGCTGTGATTGGATTTGCCATTTGATGTTGAACTTTGATCCTTAGAAGCAATGGCGTGCTGATGTTCTTGATTTGGGATATGTATTTTTTTTATTGGTCCAAGAAGCCTGTATTATTGAAGATTAACAGCTTCTTACTTTCTTCCAACATTGTTATATGAATGTAGGTTTCATTTATGATGATCACAGAAGTAATTGTATAGGTTAATTTTGGGTGCTTAACTTAACTCTCTTGGGAGAAAGAGATGGCTTTAAATTTGATGTCCTTTTCTTTTCTTTCGTTCTTTTTTATATATTTGGGAAAATGGAGAAGACTTGCTGAAGGAACGATAAAAGTATGGTTTTCTTATGTGGCAAAAAGTTCGGATTTTGGGAGAAAGGAGAAGGATATTACTCATATTAGTCATGGAGTTAATTAAATTTTCAATTGATCATAATTTTGGCTATGATCACTGGACTGAAGCACTAAGATAAAGGGTCCTAGCTAGTGGCAATGTGGCATTGTAGCATTGTAGTATCAGTTTGAATATGCAGTGCGTACGGTTAAGTTACTGCTCCTCTACGCTATATGATTGCTTTTCTGGTTTTCTGTATGGTTTTGTAAAATTGAGGGGATATTTGCCTGAATGCCTCTATATATGACCTTTTGAAAAATTTGGGGTATAATTCTTATGTTTCATGCCATTGGATATGTGTCTCAGGTCACGAACTGCTGTTGCTCCCTTAGAACGCCTAAAAATATTGCTCCAGGTATTCTTCTATTCTTCATAGCTGCTTTCTAATGGGTTTAGTACTGTAATTTATCGGCTTCAGCAGAAAATAAGGAAAATCTTTTTGCACAACTTTCTTACCTTTTAATTGCGGTGTTAAACATAATATTCCAGGTTCAAAATCCACATAGCATTAAATACAACGGAACCGTTCAAGGGTTGAAATATATATGGCAGAGTGAGGGATTACGAGGATTGTTCAAGGGTAATGGAACAAATTGTGCACGTATTGTGCCAAATTCCGCAGTCAAGTTTTTCAGCTATGAGCAAGCATCTAAGTAAGTTTCTTTCTCTACATTTGAGTAACATGATCTTAGTTGCCATGTAAAGTTTTGAAATTGCTTCTCATGTGCAAGTTTTACTTTTTTTATTTTTTGTCTTAGGAGGAATATAATTTATTATTTTTAGCTCTAGACACTTGTCTCTACCTCCTCAACCCCTGGTTGCATATGCATAACTTATGCAACTCTTGCTGGGATTTTCTGAACTTGGTCAGTTGCTAGGAATCCCTTTAAAGGTGGCCGTGAAATAAAAATTAAGATGAAGAATTGAAGAGACAGGCAATGTCGTATCTAATGTGCCATTTGCTTCTGAATTGGTCTCTGGCTAGTGTAGCACCATTGGTGTAGCATTCTTGAGCTTCTAAAATTTATAGACCTGTAGTTTACAGGCTTAGTCTTCTCTATTACTCTATTAGTATGTTATTACAAGTGACCAAAAAGTGTACTTTATTAAAAAAAGACATGTCTAAAGATGGATATATCAAGTGTCAATTGATATCCCATTTAATCGTTCGTAAGTAGTGAGTGCTGATTGCTTTTTACTGTTTTTTTTTCTTCTTTTTTTCTTATTATTTTTTTTCCTTCTAGGGGCATATTATGGCTGCATCGACAACAGAGTGGCAATGGTACTCCTAATCTTTTTAATTCCTATTAATGTTTTTATATTGTGTGATTTTTTTTCTTGCTTTGTTACCCTGCAGTCACGGGTTCATTGTGTTTCTTGTTGGATCATATTATTTCCTACATGATAAATTTGATTAATTCTGAATTATCCCGTATAATATTGCTCAGCTGCTGTTCTAGTAAGGAATTCATTTATATAGTACAGATGAGAAGGCGTAAAAGTTTCACACAAAACTTTAAGGTTCTAGTTTCATTGACATCATAATTCTTTTATATATTTAGCAACTATAATAGCTTAAGTATGGATCACAACATGGCCATATCGAAATCGGAGGTACAATCTGACTCAGCCTCATCCTTGTATGGTATAGAATGATAAGAGTTTGTTGAATGATCCACATGATTGTTTCATATAAACATCCTTGCATATTGTTTAATTGCATATGCATGTTTATTGTTGTCAATTCTCTAGTCTGTACCATGCCAAGTTACCAACCGCGTTAGCACATTAAATATCTGTTTCTCGGAGATTTTATCATGTAATAGTTTTTGGAATTCTATTGGAAGTTGAATTCTGATGCTGGACTTCTGGATAAACCTTTGAAATACTATGTTTCTTGCTTTGATTGTCAATTTCAGCGGACGCTGAACTCACTCCTTTATTGCGCCTTGGGGCCGGAGCGACTGCTGGCATCATAGCAATGTCTGCAACTTACCCTATGGACATGGTGCGGGGCAGGATTACTGTACAGGTATTATGAATTAACATCTCTGCATATTATTATAATTCACACTAAGGTTCTTTTGTAATTTGCTTCAAATGACATTTGCCTGTGACCTGTGTTTTCAGACTGATAAGTCACCTTACCAGTACAGAGGCATGATCCATGCACTGTCCACCATTCTTCGTGAGGAAGGTCCAAGAGCTTTATACAAGGGTTGGCTTCCCTCTGTTATTGGAGTTGTAAGTTCTTTGACTTAAAAAACTCTATGGATCCAGTTGTTTTACTTTCAAGTGTGTTCAATAGTTTTGGTTTGGAGTTAATTTTGCACCAGCTAGTTATCAAGCAATAACTACATACATATGGCTGAAACATAGCTTTTTGTCTATCGTCACACATAAAGGCAGTGCCGCAGTATGCTTGTGCTCTCAATTAGTTAGTAAAATGGATATTGATTCTTGCTGTGCTTTACGCAATCCGTTGCATAAACCAAATTTTAGGGCTAAAGTTGCTGATATATATATGTGTGCTGTGTGGATAAGAAATAGTGGGCCTCATATGCCTTATGCTCAAGAATTTGATCCTTTGTGGGAGGGTTTTTTTCTTGGAAATTTAATATACAAAGTATTGGTGGAACTGCCACTCATTTAGCTGAAGTCTTGTGTAGTTCTGTGATTGGTCTGCTAGATCTTCTTAGCTTGTTTGCTGTTCAAATCTTATATGCAAATTGATTTTGCCTTATGCAGGTTTGCTTGCATGTTTTAATGTTTGTTCTTACTCATCTGCTTGTCACTTGTAGATTCCGTATGTTGGCCTCAATTTTGCCGTGTATGAGTCATTAAAGGAATGGTTGGTGAAAGCTAGGCCATTTGGATTAGTCCAAGATAGTGAGTTGAGCGTGACAACAAGGCTTGGATGTGGTGCCGTGGCGGGGACTATTGGCCAAACCGTTGCTTACCCTCTCGACGTTATTCGCAGAAGGATGCAAATGGTGGGGTGGAACAATGCTTCATCTATAGTCACTGGTGACGGGAGGGGCAAGGTCCCATTGCAGTATAATGGCATGATTGATACATTTAGAAAGACAGTTAGACATGAGGGTTTCGGAGCTCTGTACAAAGGCCTGGTCCCTAATTCAGTAAAGGTCAGTTTTCAGCATACCTTGTAATATGCTTTCAAACTATCTGCTGCTGCCAGTCTTGTTGTGGCTTATAGCCCAGTATCCTTTATGATCAGAAATAGTACATATGAGTCAGTTACTTATATTTGTGGCTTATGCTTGTATCTCGTATTTTCTCCAGGTTGTGCCATCTATATCAATAGCATTTGTGACATATGAGGTGGTGAAAGACATCTTGGGAGTTGAAATGAGAATATCAGACTGAAGTTGCTGATTCGGGCTCTTAAACTCTGATATATTTTTTCTTCTTTTGGTAGGCAATTGGAAGAAATAGGTAAATTTTGGTTGATGTATTGTATTTTTGCCCGATTAGAACAAGCTAAACTAGAGTACCAGGTGCTAGCCTGTTTTATATGTTGCTTCTCTGTTACTTCCTGTCTAGGGATCCTTCAGAAAATTCTAATTTTCTCAGTTTTTCGAATGCTTATTTGTAATAAGTAGTTGCAAATAATAAATTGATGGATCCATTTGCAGATTTCTAAGAGACATTTCTGTTGGATGTTTACGTCTGCTATACCGTCCCTTGTATATTGCATAGACCATCTCCTGCTTGATTTTTTGTGCTTGGAATTAAGTGCTCCATGCTGCCTTTGTAAAATCAAAGATGCTTTCAAAGTACAAATTTTCTGTGGCTCTCATCGGCTGTATGACGAGACTATTGTGATAGTACAAAACTTGTCCTTGACTCCTTGGCCATGCTCGGATTTTATAATTAATTGTAGTAATTGAAAAATCCTTTCAATTTATTTGCTTTGTTCAACAATTTTGATGAATTAATTTCATGACTTGTAATCTTATCTCTCTTATTAATGTTTGAGTTAGTTTGATACTATTAATATACTATATCAATCATTTTCTTAAATTACGTGCCATTGCAAGTATTTAAAACGGAGAAAGTATATTACGATGAAGAAATTACGTGGAAGTATAAATTGCTGTAGTAAGTCTCGTAACTGTTACTTTAATACTTCATGTGTGTATTATACTATTATTTACATAAAGATTTACAAAGAACTGGGAGATAATTAGATAAGTCTCACGGGTCTGTATACCTTGTATTTAGGAATTAGGATATCATCCTCTTTCTATCCCTGAGCAGCTACACTTAAGATTACTGAAGATAATCAAGCCAAAATCCGTAAAAGTGAATACTAATAACTCATACTATACAGCCATTAAACTCAGACTACCAGACTAGTACAGAATAAGCTTGAGACCATCACGACAGTTGAGATAAATACACGAAGCTCTTCACATTTTTCGCCCATGCCTGATCACAAGAAAGAAAAAAGATGTAATAAGCACCGAAATCATATTATGCAATTAGTCGAGATGGTACATGAGTTGTTCGGATAGAGTCAATTCGAGTCATATGTAGACCCGACTTCCATTTTCAGATACAGGACAGGCTTAAAAAGATATGTCAGGTCTAGTCTATGTCTAGAAACTACTACAAGATCCCTGCATAAGTTGAACATACCTGGAATCTAGAACCTTGGTTTGCAACTTTGATCGCGATGCCTGTCGATCAGCAATCTTAAGCTCGTCGAACCCACGTTTACGAGCCCGTAACTTGGATACAAGGGCCTTAAAATCTTGTTGCTCTTTAACACTAATCTCATTCATATCCTCATATTCCAATACCTCTTGATCGGATAAACTAAGGGAAGCAATGATCATAACCAAGTTTAACTCAACAAGAAACGACGAATCTGGCCTTATTGAATACGCATTCTCATTTTCCTCTTCATTTTCCTGATTTTGTTCCTCTTGATCATAGTATAATTTCTCTGTTATTTCAGCCATTTTTACTATTTTTATCAACCTTTTTTAACACCTGCATATGTAAACTAAACTAATTTAAGTAAAATTTCTCTTAGAAACATCTGGTTAAGAATAATTGACAAAGTCATAAATTTATAAAGGCCCTATTTGATTTGATGTAAAAGGTTTTCATGGAAAATGAATTTTCCATTTTTTTTCCCATATTCCTTTGTTTGGTTTGTTAAGGAAGGGAAAACAAATTTTCAAGTGTGGAAAATTCCATCCTTAATGATGGAAAACATTTTCCTTCCAAAAACAAGGGAAGCCATATTTTCCTCTCTCCTCCTTACCTCTTTTTTTATTTCCCTCTCATTCATCCTTACATTTCCACTCTTATTTTTTATTTTTCTTGTATGCAACCAAACAAAGGAAAACTAATTTGCAATTGTGTTTTTCCTTGAAAATATGTTTTTATGAAAACTAATTTTCCATTGAAAATGTTTTACATTAAACCAAACGGGGCCAAAATGTTGTTTAAATTTCTTATTTCATTTAATTAAGGGAAAATGAGCTTCAGTATGGAAAATTAAGTAGAAAATAAGAAGTATATTGTTTTTATGTAACATACTTTTGACATTTACCCAGAAATTGATCAGATGCGATGCAAAAAACGAAAAAAGAAGATGAACGTGAAATTATAGCTTCCATTACCATGGATCATGATCATGATGATATAATATTTCTGCTGAATGAAATCATAGTTACATGAATATTATAAATGAATCAAAATTACATGAAAATTTCAGCAATTTTAAGACGATCATATACTTGATCTTATGAGAAAACAGAAATAGCAATAAATTGAAAACTTAAGTAATATAAAAAATGAATCAAAAGCTACAGAAAATAAGAAATAATCAAGAATTCAAGATGAAAATATGCGTACCTGAAATGGAGTTGAAAAAGGAATAACCGGTTAACCAATAGAAGAAAATAAAGACTGAGAGCTCTGTTTTTTTTTTTTTTTTTTTTTTTTTTTTTTTTTTTTTTTTAACGAAGTCCTCCAATAAGATTGAATAGCACTATAGGATTTTTTCTAAAAAAAATGTTCTTTCAAAACACCAAAAATATAGGTGTTTTAACTTTGGAGTAGCAAGTAACCTTGAATTTGGGAAAGTGGTGAGCTTAGCAAACATTATACATAACATAATCCGTGAATGGTTGACTTAACAATTGAACAAAATTGCGCCTCTGATTGAGACACATGTAACTAGTATGTTCCAAGGATCAAGGGTATGGGTATAATGTATACACACCATCAATAGCGATTACTCTTCTAGCCTTGATTATAAATTGATTTGAATGAAATTTGAACCCATATCCTGTAACCTCATGTTATAAGGTGTTTCAATTACTCGCTTTTTAGCTATGATAAACTTTTAGTGCTTGGTTTGGTTAGATGTGGGAAGTGGAAACTCCCGTGAAATCTCAATGGTCATAAAATTGTAACTCATAAGAATTATTAAAATTGTTTGGTTGGATAGACTAGATAATTTAATTCCTCCATTAATGGAAAATACTTTTTAGAATGATCACCATGATTATGATTATAAGATATTTTGACAGGGTTTCAACTATGACAAATTTAGAGTAGTTTTTTATTTGATTAATTATGCATTCAAAGTTGTAAATTATGGAGTATCAATTTTTAAAGTTTCCCAGAGTAAGTTATGTTTAAAACTTTATCTAAAATCATTATAATAAAAACAAAAAAATAATATTCAAACCAATAAAACTAAAAATTTCAAATAATAATTCTTGTGTTAGACAATCTATTTATGTAAACCTATGATTTAAGTCCAGTTAACTCATAATTCTTGGTCAATTGACCAGATCGGTAATTCTTCAAAATAATGAAAGAGGAAAATTCTACAAGTATTTAAAAAAGTAAAAAGTAAAAGAAAAAATCTTCCATAAAAATAAATAAATAAAATAAAATTCCAATAATTGAAAAGGAGTCTGATACGACATCAATGGCTACCCTTGATTTCGGGGGTCCTAGTATATTGGCGAGATGACACTTCAACTTGTTTTGTTTGAGATATCAGATTGTATGTGTCATCCATTAATGGATTTAATACACTTCTACTTTCACTACCATTTCTACTTTCATTTTTTTTTTTTTTTAGCATTTTATTTTTCTACCCAATTTTATTAATTTTTTTGTGGTCTAGGAAATTCGGCGTTGGCAAGCGAATCTGGATATGGATGGCCGCCCCTCCAGAAAAGATACAATCTTTAAACTTAAAACTACCCTTTCTTCCCTAGTTTGGCAACAATACTATTCAGAGAATTCACAAATCTGATTGAAAAAAGATTGGATTTATTTTTTTTATTAATAATTTATTTTTTGGAGTAAAATATAATTTCAGAAACCCATTTTTCCCCCTAATTTTTTTTAACCATTTTGAAGATCACAAGCTGAAGATTGTTTTTGTTCTTCTAAATTTCCCACTTACCTCTTTCCTCTGGTATGATTTCTTCTTTCTCTACTCTTTACTGAATTTATGGAGTTTGATATTATTTTCTTATCTGGGGTTTTCTTGTTTTTCAATAATTTGATTTGGGTTATTGTGATTTTGGAGTTGGATGAAGTAGTTGATAATGTATTGCTTCTGCATCTGATTGTGAGTTTTGAATTGGAGCTGTTGGGAGAAGCATTATTGCTATGCTTCTTTTTTTTTTTTTTTTTTTTTTTTTTTTTTTTTTTTTTTTGGGGTGTATTATTATGGCTCTTAAAATTGTACTTGTATATGATTGCTAAATGCTAATGTCTGCTCTAATCAGCACTGGGGTAGTCAGTTTTGTTGGCCAACTTTTGAGGTATGATTGTGATTGCCTGAACACATTTCACTGAAGTTTCCTTTACTTGCTACTTGTGAACTTTGAAGAGTGGACAATATGTGATTTTTTAAAGGAGAGTTGAATGAAAACAACCGACTTGTATATGTTATGGCTTGTGATGGTTGTAATCATGGTTGTGGTGGAGTGAGAGAGTTGGCTAATGCCCTTGTGAGGTTGCTTTTACGCGAACCAAGCTGTGCCTTTTTCGATAGAGGTTATATCCTTGCAGGATAGGCTGTATGAGGTTAATCGATGCTTTTCCAATGAAGAATTTGATGAATTGCACAAGTAATGGCAACATAGTTCCTCCTGAGAGTAGTTTTCAACTTTTTATTTAAAAATTAGGAAGGAATCAATGCTATGTTAGGACCAAGGACTAAGGACTTGTCATTTCTTTCTTTTTAGTGGAAAAGAAAGGAATGAAATCCAGATTTCAAAGATATTTTACCAGGATGATCATGGGACATCAATTGGTGCTTGAGCTTGATGTTATTCTCTTCTTTTTATTATCTCAAATTTTATTTTTGTTCAGTTAGAATGTAGCTTTAAGTGTATCACACGGCTTAGGCTTTCATTGTTTTTTTTTTTATTCCATGTGTATCTATCTATAAGAGACCACATTGATTAAATTCGCGCTGTATACCACACCTCTGCTAGTCTCTTGGCTTCTTTGTTTTTCTGAATTGGTTAGCTGATAATGACTTCTGGAACTTTTAAAACTTTATATATTACAAAATCTTCTGTTGATTATAATCTATTTATTTTTTCAGAGAATGCTCTGATGAGGCTGATCTGTTCTGGTATGAGTGCTGTAACATTGAGATGGGTACCGTGATGAGCGACTTAGCTCTACTGGCACTGTAAAGTCCTCTGTGGAGGCAATGGCTGCTAATGATCTAGAAGAGATTGAGATGGATGGTTCAGATTCTCCATTGAAGCAGGAGGACTGCCCTAAGTTAGTTTCGCCTGTTTTTTACGATTCGGTGAGAAGTCAATTGCAGGGGGCTACAGAACATAATTGTATAGACACATTTGGAAGCAATGATTCAGAGCAATTTGGAATGAGAATTTCAGGGTTGGAGTTGTCTTATGTTGCCAGTGCTGGCCCCCAGTCACCTGCACAAACAGGCCATGTAGGTAATAATTTAAAATTTGAAAATAACAAGGACTATGTCTTAGATGTATCCAATTTTTCTAGTAGTAAAGATGCGGATTTGAAGAAGGGTCACTGGCCACACTTGTCTCAGATGGTAGCTGGCCCTAGGAATACAATACCTCGAAGAGATTCACTTTCAAGAGCTAAGGATAAGCTTATGGTTAGCATTAAAGAGAATTCTAGGAAAGATGATATTGATGCGTGGAATATGAGAAATCTGAAGGCCAAACACGTTGATGAGACAGGAAGAGTGTGCTCGAATGTATTGCATGGGAAGAATCTCAATACCGAAAGTGCATTGCTTCCTCAGGATGCTAGGTTGAGAATTTTATCCACATCAAGTTTCTCACAATTTTTTGGGAAGAAAACTGCTAAGGGTAAAGGGGTCATTGATGGGCGGTTAGGAGATGAAATCAATCTGGACAATGATGGGCTTGATGGCAATTTTGAGAGCTATGGAAGGAGGTTAGCTACATCAGGCATGACTTCTGAAGACCAAATACAGCCCTTGCTACGTTGCAGCAGTGGGATTGCAAACCATGATGGAGTTGACCTGAGAGAATGGCTTAAGCCTGGTCATCGTGTGAAGAACAAAGCTGAAAGCCTTAATTTTTTCAAGCAAATTGCTGAGCTTGTAAATTCAGCACACTCTCAAGGTGTTGTCCTACAACAATTGCGGCCATCATATCTTGTTATAACTCCATCAAATGAGCTAAATTACATTGGCTCATCAACCCAGATGGAATTGCATGTTCCTAAATCCTTTGCTGGCTGCAAGAAAAGGCTCCCAGGAGAAGATATCAGTGCTTTCTGTACCTCTGATCTGAAGCAACAGAAAGTTGTGAAAGTCCATAGTCATGCATTTTCAGCCTCCTTAGTAACTGGGGTTAGGAATGCTACAGTTCGGGAAACCAAATATGATATAGGTAGCTCATCTGTTTCTTATTATCCCAACAACAGGACTTTGAGCATGATGAGCCATGGGGTTACTGGGTTGGAGAAGTCTCCTCTGACAAACCTCCAGCTGGAGGAGAAGTGGTATACTTGTCCTGAAGAGCTTAATGAGAACGATTGTAAAGTTTCTTCAAATATTTATAATCTTGGAGTGCTGCTTTTTGAGGTGAGGAAACACAGAAATTATTATGTCACTCATTTGCATTTCAAAGACCAATTTTGTGTGTGTGTGTGTTTCTTTTCCTTATAAAAACCTCTATTCCATACTAAATAAATTGCGTAAAAAGATGGATATGTTTTGTTTAGCCTTACCAAGTGTGGATAATCATTTGGTCCTTTTCTTTTAACTGTTTTAATCACTCTAGTACCTCTTCTACTATTTTCTTTTATTTCTTGCAGTAACTAGTCATATTCGAAGTATGTTTTATGATTTACAAATTTAAGTGCATTAAAGTCATGTCTTGCCCTCCTCTATTATAGTTAAATTAGTCAAATCACACGGTGTATAACATTTTGTCTTTGTATTATGACTCTTTTCTAATTAAGAGCTTACTATCTCATTCTTAGAATGAAGCTACGTCGACTGTTGCTTATGATCTAATGGTATAGTGACATTCTAATGGTTTAGTGATGTTGGTGTTGCTAATAACTCTGACAACCCCTTTGGTAAGTGGCCATATATGATGATAATGTGAATGAATTAGTATGTAAATTTGTAAAAGAAATTAAGATTTATTCAATGTCTAATCACCATGCAGCTCACCATATTCCCTCAGATGTCTTGTAGTTGAAGCCTGTGATTCATCACCAAGAATTGATGACCTACACTACTTTTACCACGTTAAATACCCTATATGATGCTAATCTGATATATGGAAGCTTAAATATTGGTTTCATCCCCCTTGGCTCAAGAAAAAAAGAAAAAGAAAACTATGTCATACCCATATGGGGTTGTGATCCTCCTAGGTGGGTGGGGGGGGGGGGGGGGGAGGCATAGTATTTTGGGGCAAGGGTATCATTATAAAATAATGTTTATGGAGCTTCATGCCTCAATTAATCAAACTAGAGTAACTTTGTGGAAGTGGTACATAATTTCTCTCAACTTCACCTTCCCTTGCCTTGTGAAATGCCCCTTTAGTTCCCCAAAATAATAATGTATAAATAATAGCAGAACATCTCCACCTGAAACATGTCATTGCATATTTGTAAATTTCTTCGGCTTAAGATCTTGGCTGTTGTGATAGAGGATAGAAGATTGTTTTCATATTAGTTACTGTTACATCTTGATATAGTTTTTTTTTTTCTTTTTCTTTCTTTCTTTCTTTCTTTCTTTTTTTTTTGGCTATGTGATCTTATTGAATTTCTTCTCTTTTAACAGTTGCTTTGCTCTTTTGATTCGTTGGATACTCATTGTGCTGCAATGTTTGACATGCAACGTCGGATTCTGCCACCATTCTTTTTGTCTGAAAAT